CTGGTCCTCTGGTCTGTTTCTTTGCCAGTACCATGCTGTTTTTATCACAGTAGCTTTGTAGTATAGTTTCAAGTTGGAGGTTGTAATACCCCCTGGCTTGTCTCTGTTACCTAGAATTGCTTTTGCTATTCTGGGTCTCTTCTTGTTCCAAATGAATTTTTGGATTGTTTTCTCAAAGTCCATGAAGTATGCCACAGGGATTTCAACTGGGATTGCACTGAATCTAGATATACAGATTTTTAAGCTTTCATTTACTTCAAAGTGAGATTGCTGGTTGTACAGCATAACAGGCTGAATTATGTCCTATTCAAATTTGTATGTTGAAGTCCTAGCTCCTAGTACCTTATAATGCAATTATATTTGGAGATACGGACTTTAAAGAGGTAAATTAAAATGAGTTTGGATCCTAAGGAATTACGACTGTTATTTTATTTATTTTATTTTTTTGGTACCAGGGATCAAACTCAGGACCTTGTGCTTGCAAGGCAGGTGGCTGAACCACTGAGCTTAATCCTCGGGCCTGACTGTCATCTTTGTAAGGAAGATTAGGACACAGAAGGAGACACCAAGAATAGACAGCTACACTGGTGCAAGACCAGGAAGATACAGCACAAAGATGGTCATCTATAGGTCAGAAACAAGGACTCAAAAAAGACACAAAAAACCAGACATGGAGATATTTTGATCTTGAATTTCTAGCCTACAGAAATGTGAGATAATAATTTTTATGTATTTTTTTGCAGTACTGTGGATCAAACTCAGGACCTTGCACTTGCCAGGGAGGAGTGGCGCCACTGAGCCATATTCCCAGCCTTATTTTTATTGTTGAAGCTAACTAGTCTGTGGTATTTTGTTATGAAAGCCCTAGAAAACTAATATATATGCTAAACGTACACTTAATTTTATAAGAAACCAGCAAGCTACTTTCTGAAGAAGCTTTGCCATTCTTCATGTCACCAGTAATGTATAAGAGTTCCAGTACCTCTGCACCCTTGTCAGCACTTGGTATTATCTGATTCTGGGGGGGGGTACCAGGGATTGAACTCACACTCTTGTGTTTGTGAGGCATGCATGGCACCACTGAGCTAAATCCTGGGCCCTCAATTTGGTTTTAATTTGCAATTTTCTGGTGATTAGTGTCCTTGGACACATTTCTATATGTGCATTAGCATTGAGTGCCTACTCAAGTATTTTGCTAATTAAAAATAGGATGTCTTTTTTTCTTTTTGAGTTTTAGGAATTCTTTATATGTTCTGGATATGAATAGTTTGTCGCAAATTTATTTATTTATTTATTTATTTTTAGTACTAAGGATCAACTCAGGACCTGCCACTGAGCTAAATCCCTAGCCCCTGCTTTGTTGCAAATTCGTACTGCAAACCTGTCTGTCTTCCTTAGGTTTCTTCTCCCACTCCTTCCCTCTTCCTCCCTCTCCCCCTCTCTGGTCTTTTCTGGTGCTGAAGATTGATGCCAGAGCCTTTTCCATGCTAGCAAAGTGCGCTACACTTGAGCTGCATCCTCAGTCTAGTATTTTCATTCTCTTCATGATGCTTTTGATGGAAAATAAATTAATTCTTGGGCTGGGGATTTAGCTCAGTGGTTTCGCCGCCTGCTGTGCAAGTGCAAGGACCCGAGTTCGATAACCCAGTACTAAAATAAAAAAAAGAAAAAAGAAAATAAGTTAATTCTAATGAAGTATGATTTTTTAAATATTTTATGCTCTTACTTTTGTCTCCTATCTGACAAATTTTGTCACCTTCAACTTTCTTTTTTTTTCTTTTTGTTAGCAGGTATTGAACTTAGGACCTTGTACTTGCAAGGCAGGTACAGTGCCACTAAGCTAAATCAAAGGCCCTCTTATGTTTTCTTCTAAAGACATTATTTTATTGTTTGCAATTATATCTCACACACATTTCAAATTATCTTGTGCTAGTGTTTATAATGCAAAACAGTGATTATATTCAAATTGATCCACCACTGTTAACTGAAAGAATGCATGAGATGTAACTCTGGGAAGTGTGTGAGGAAGGCTGGGCAGTGGCATTGGGATGGTATTCTGTGAGGGAATGGAAGCCAGCACCAATGGAATGGCATATTCAGAAATGAGTAAAGAGCTCTCTTTGAGGTGGATGCCAAAACTAACACCATCTGTAACAGCCACAAGTATTAAATATGTTCATTCCAGAATCTGCGTGCATTTCTAGATTCTGCCCTTTCTTGATTCTTCCCTAAAAATTATTCAAACCAGGAGGTCTTGTGTGGCTTATGAGTGAATTTTAAATTACACTTTGAGAATTGCTACTAATGTCAGATGCACCATTTCTTTCCGAGATGAAGCAGATCTAATTATTTTTAAAACTTGGAGTTTCTTGTCAGATTTTATTTTTGCAGTGCTGGGGCTCAAACCCAGGGCCTCACAATCTACATCAGTCCTTTTGAGTGTCACTTTATAATTTGCTATCTTACATAAAATCCAAGCCCACAAAGCTTTTTGAAATATGATTTTCTCTACTATGGACTCCCTGTGATCCTGCTGTGAGGTGCTGGCCTTTCATTCTTACTAGCCCTGTTGTTCAGAGAATCTGAAGGACACTCCTAAAATTGCAAGTGTTCATGATAGACCTCCTTGTTTCTGACTTCTTAATGAAAGACCTTGCAGTTCTATCCTGGATTTCATTTTTGTTACAATGCTATTTGAGAATTGTTCACCACTTAAAATAGGCTCCTATGACTGGTCAGGCAAAATCAACTAAGAAATTCATGAAATGAAACTAGAAAAAGTTCAGTTGTGGATTCCAAAACCTCCTTTTAACAAAAACATTTTCTTTTCTTTTGGAGGTATTTATTTCTCTTTCCTCAAAACCAAATGTTTAATATGAGGATTCAGAGAACTTCTCAGTGTAGTTGTCTTAGTTTTCTCATTGGTGAGATGAAATACCAGACACCCACAAATTAAGGAAGGAAAGGTTTATTTTGGCTTACATTTTACAGGTTTCTGGCCACAGGTGGCTGGCTCCAAAGCAGAGTGGCACGGCAAAGAGGCATCGCAGAGCAGGCAAGAGACACTGAGGCAGCAGCCCAGCAGGGAGCAGCAGCAGCTTCTTTCTGTCCCTTTAGGTTCTGTTCAGGGTGCGAGCCTATTGATTCGTGCAGTGCCATCCACACCTGGGGCAGGGCACCCTTAATCCTGGTATCACATACCCTGTAACCAGCCACTTCCAATGACTGCATGAGGCTTTAGGGGGCATCTACACCCCAGCCCTCACAGTAGCATTAATGTTTAATCTGGGCTTTTTACTCGTTTTAATGTTAAACCCTCTATTATCAGGCTAGATACTGAAAGGGATTTGTTGTTGTTGACTTCTGTACTCCTGTAATTTTGGCTTCTTTGCCAACTCCCTAGCCAATGGGAACTGACATCTCCCAGAACAACTCAATGCACACAAAATAAAATAAGTTATCACATAATAAAAAGTCAAAGATGAAAAAAGAGGTAAACATGACACAAATCAATCTTTGTTTAGAAACCCTTGGTCTCTCCTGGTATGGCATGGGAGGTGTACTGTAACAAACTGGTGTTTCTTCTTATTGTTTAAAAATCACAGTTGAAGTTTACATTGCCGTCTTTGTGATTTGGTCCAATGCTCCCACTCTGTTGACACTATGGTGGCCTACCGGGGACAGAATGGACTCAGCTATACCTGATAACCCCTGATCTGTGGAAAAGCAGTGAGAGATACACTGAAGACACAATTCAAAGCAAATGGCCCCAAAGACTTCTCTGGTAATAGCATAAAAATTGTGAAAGTGGAAGACGAAAAATCAACTCTGAGTATAGCTTGAAATGTTACATTTTCAAGGTGAAGACATGGGCACATGTGATGGTAAATGGAAACCAATGTCACTTCATGGGGGAGGGACCGGTCATGTTCTTAATTGATGATGGTAATAAACTGACTGTACAGTCCATGCTTAAGAGTAAATAAACAAAATCACAGTTAATTACTTCTGCAAATCTTGTTCTTTATTGTCGATCTTGATAAATTACAGAACTAATTCATAAGAACATAACACCACTGATCTAGTTATGCCATTATTTGGTAAACAGTAGGTAGCACCAATGGAGGTTTTGTGAGAAGAATATTGTTTTATCACAATTGTTTCTTCTTGGAAATAAAATAAATCTTAATCTCAGTTTTTGAGTTCTACTCTGTGGTTGGTGCTACAAATGACGTCCATATGGAAGATCTTTTGACAATCACAGAAGTCATTACCGAGACACAGTGGAAAATGAGGATGATGTGCAATACTTAGGAGACTGAGGTCCCTCACCAACAAGCTCTCATTGAGTAGTGATATGTGATGAGATACTAGAGAACACTGAGGTTGTGATAACCAGGGTTCACCATCATTATTTAAAAAAAAGTAAATTCTCTCACTGGACTAAATGTGCAAGTATAATTCTTGGTCAGCTAAGGAAATGAATGCCTGGTAAACATGACAAATCAGAAGCTAACAAAAATAATGAGGTTTAAATGATAGAGAAATTTCAAATAAACATGAATTGAGTTTGATTAGATGATTTCTATAATCCCTTCCAGAACTAACGTAAAATTTCCATAGCCCTGTAAAAATTTCATTAATAAGAATTCATTAAAAAAGTAAAGATCAAGGTAGAACATCACTCCTAGAAAATACTAGGAAACATGAATAAAGAGTCACAATGAGCTGAAGTGTATGATGTTGATCACTTTCCCTTCAAGTTGCTAAGGCAGCATTACTCCTTCCTCAAAGGTACGCAAGCCACTGAGGGTGCTGCAAGTGGCAGTGAGCTGAGGGAATGGAAAACTGACGTCATCTTCCAATTTTTCTCCCTGGATCCAAAATAAGTTTGAATATCATCAAGGATATATTTTGGGAAGCAGGGATGGAATTTGCCTCACACAAACAGGATCCACTCTAAAGCAAATTTACTGAGTGTCTTCAAGGTCTCAGGGAAATTAGCTTGAGTGGCCAGTTTTGCTCTGGCTGAGTCAGTTCCGGAGAAGTGATTTTTAGTGATGAAACTGAGAAGCCCTCTGATAGGAGTTGGTTACCCTCGTCATGAGAGAACAAAGTAGAGGTTTGACCACCTTGCTAGTAGAAATACATGACCCCAGGCACAAGAGCACATCTGTTCTCTTTTGCTCAGTGGTTTGGGAAACACAAAAGGGCTAGATGGAAGCCTCAACTTTCTGTTCAAACAGGACCATGTTTGTCTCCCGGTGGATGCCTTCTTCCTTTAGAAACTAACCCTAAATCTGTAGAGATCAGAAACAAAATATTTGTAAGCAGATCATTAGGTACAATAATAAGCTCCATTCTTACTTCTGGGTTTCTGTATCTTTTTAGTCAGTCTGTGGGGTTTTGGTACCTCTGTATTCTGTCTGTGGGGTTTCTGCCCCTCTATATTCTGTCTGTTGCAAGGCATTTCTCTGTCTCACTAGTCACCCTAACCAGGTCCTTGACAGCCATTCCAACTATTCTATAATGTCAGCTACTTCTGGTGAATCCTTTGGGCTTTAGCCCTTTGCCTAATTCTTTTTATTTTTTAATTTTTAAATTTTTTTCCAGTACCAGGGATTGAACTCAGGACCTTGTGAGGCAGGCATGGTGCCACTGAGCTAAATCCCTGGCACATTCTTTTTATTATTTATTTATTTATTTAATTTTGGCTGGGAAACAAGTTTCTAAGTCAGAAGCCATTTTGCCTGGTGTCTTAGTTACTTTTCTCATTGCCAAGACAAAATATCTGATACGCAAGTTAAAGAAGGAGAGGTTTATTTGGCTCACAGTTTGTAGAGATTTCAGTCCATAGTCAGCTGGCTCCAAGGCACAGTGGCATGGAAGGCAGGCATCATACAGGAGAAACAGTTCATGGTCAGCAGAGGGTAGCAAAGCAAGCAAGGGACAAGACAAGCCTCTTTCTGTTCCTTATACTGTATCCAGGTTACTGGGATTAGGGTGGTGCCAAACTAATCACCCATCCTTAATCCTAGCATCCTTAATTCTAGCATTGTACCATGAATCAATCATACACTCTAGATTCAGCCACCCCTGGAAAAGCCTCACTACTTTGGGGGGACATCTAGACAAAAGCCATAACACTTTTTATTTCAGATGAGCCATCTGAGCGAGGTGACTAAAGTAAAAAAAACTTTTCAAAAAAAGCTTTTCAAGAAAAAAATCATTGGTGGCACATATGGCAACGGGGTCCTGCCAGATAAACTCTGAGATGCTGCAGTGGCCTTAGCAGCAGAAATGTCATTGTGACTTTGGTAAGAACTTTTTTGGAATACAATTGTGAATTCAGAAGCAGATTACCATAGTATGAGGAGTAAATGGATAGTGAGAATTCAGCGCCAAGTGCCTCTTGCCCAACTAACCAATCAAGCAACCAACCTGGCTTTGCAGGGGGTGAGGTAGATGGAACAGTCTAGAGTTGAAAGGATCTTTTTATTTTTTTTTCCACCTATGTAGAGAACCCTGACTGCTCTAATGTCTGACAGTGAGAGAGAAACAGACAGAAAGGGCCTTGATGATGGAGTGAGATTACCCGAGAAGGCTGAGGGCTGACATCCAGAGCTTTGTGTCATGAGACTTACCACCCAGAGAAGTTATTCTAGAGCTTTCACAGTATGATTTGTATTGGAGCTTGGAATCTATTTTTCTCATAGATATACAATTTCCCAAACAATGTATAAAAGTACCAAAAAGTACTTTTAAAAGGTAGCTTTTAGAAATTGTTGATCCAGATGAGAAGAAATTGGCAAATTGCAGATATGACCAGAAGTAAATGAATCAAAGCCTGGAGGGTTACTTATAGCCTTGTGGTATGGGAGGGAGGAAAAAACATTGAGCAAGGACTAGCTTTGCTGTAAGAGTTATCACTGAGAGCTGGAGATTTAGCTCAGTGGTTGCTGCTGCCTGCCTTGTAAGCTGCAAGGTCCTGAGTTCGCTCCCCTCTGGTATCATAAAAAAAAAAAAAGTTATCACCGAGGAGTTGGAGATGAGTCAGCAAAGAGAAGGCTAGAGAACAAAACATTTTCAGTGTGCATTTTATATTCACACACCTAATATGACAACGTCATGCACACTGCAAACATTTTCTGACTGACTGGATTTGCTGCTACTGATTTCCCTTACCAGGTCATAACTTCAGAGTTATCTGGGCCACAGTGTGATGGTTTGCGTTTAAGTATTCACATTATCTTGCCTGATCCCTAAGGCTATGTTCATCTTTGGAACAGGATTATCAGGGTGAGGGCTGTGTAGGCAGTGGAGGCTTCAGCAAGGTGTATTTTTTCCTCTGTGTGAAACTAAGAAACTTGCACGTGGACCAAATTTCCCATCCAGGCCTTATTGAAGAGCTAATACTAATCAACTGAAACTGATTTAATCTACCAAACACAACTTGTCATGTGAAAGCCAAGAAGCCACGAAGTACTCTTCCATTACCTTGAGGGTGACTTAGCAATTTTGCTAGTGTAAAAGTATAACATCCACTTTTGACAGATCTATGAAAAATGTTTATGAGAGGACTCCGAAGATAAGAGGGAACTGGAAAAATAATAACTTTAAGAAGATTGAAGACAGGAAAGAGCACAGGTGGAACTGTTTGGCACAGTGTTGCTTCTGCCCCTTTCCATTGTCTTGAGAGTCAAAGAGCCCCCAAATTCAAGATGAGGGGACACAGATCCCACCTCTTTATCCCAAGAGTAGCAACTTGTGGCTATCTGTAACCTATCATGAAAGTGCTTGAATACCATACGCTTGCAAAGACTACATGTCAAAGACTTCATCGCAAAAGACTACATGTCTGTGTGCCAGATGCTTTGGTAGAGCAGTATCTCCTAATTCCATCATTTGGGGAAAGGTGGATCTGGAATGTTCCCATCTATTTCTGTGAATTGGTCTCACAAGTTACTCAAATCTCTACATAACTCCCTGCTTCCGTCTTTACAAGACAGGAATAATCAGCTTTCTCTCCATCTGCTGCAGAGTTGTCTACAGTACTATGCGTCTTTAAATCTTTTCCAAATCTCAGCACAAAGGGAATTGCTACATGCTAAAAGCCAGAAGATAGTATTGTACTGAGACAGAGAAAAAGAGAGACAGAGAGAGACAGAGAGAGAGAGAGAGAGA